GGCTATTGGTTGCTGCCTTTATTGGTCTATTCAGGGTTTCAACTTCCTCCTGGTTTAGTCTTGGTAGAGTACTAGTGTCCAGGAATTTATCCCTTTCTCCTTGGTTTACTGGTTTATGTGAGTAAAGCTGTTTATAGTAATCTCTGATGGTAGTTTGTATTTCTGTGGGATCGATGGTGATATCCCCTTTATCATTTTTTATTGCATCTATTTGATTCTTCTCCTTTTTCTTTTTTATTAATGTGGATAGCAGTCTGTCTATTTTGCTGATCTTTTAAAAAAAAAAAAAACAGCTCCTGGATTTATTGATTTTTTTTCAAGGGTGTTTCTGTCTCTATCTCCTTCAGTTCTGCTCTGATCTTAGTTATTTCTTGTCTTCTGTTAGCTTTTGAGTTTTTTTTGATCTTGCTCCTCTAGTTCTTTCAATTTTGATGATAAGGCGTTGATTTTAGATCTTTCCTCTTTTCTCTGGTGGGCATTTATTGCTATAAATTTCCCTCTCAACAGTGCTTTAAAGTTGTCCCAGAGATTCTGGTAAGTTATGTCTTCATTCTCGTTGGCTTCAAAGAACATCTTTATTTCTGCCTTTATTTCATTGTTTATCCAGTTGACACTCAGAAGCAAGTTGTTCAGTTTCCAAGTTGTTGTGTGGGGTTGAGTGTATTTCTTGATACTGAGTTCTAGTCAGATTGTGCTGTGGTCTGATGGACTATTTGTTATGATTTCTATTCTTCTGCATTTGCTGAGTAGTGATTTGCTTCCAATGATGTGGTCAATTTTAGAGTAAGTGCAATGTGGTGCTGAGAAAAGTGTATATTCCATGGATTTGGGGTGGGGCATTCCGTGTATGTCTATTAGGTCAGTTTGGTACAGCTCTGCATTCAAGCCCTGGATATCCTCGTTAATTTTCTGTCTCATTGATCTGTCTAATATTGACAGTGGAGAATTGAATTCTCCCACTATTATTGTGTGGGAGTCTGAATCTCATTTTAGGTAATTAAGATCTTGCTTTATGTATCTGGGTGCTCCTGTGTTGGGGGTGTATATATTTGGGATAGCTAGCTCTTCCTGTTGGATTGATCCTTTTACCATTATGTAATGTCCTTGTGTCTTTTGATCTTTGTTGGTTTGAAGTCCATTATATCAGAGACTAGGATTGCAACCCCTGCTTTTTTGTTGTTCTCCATTTGCTTGGTAAATCTTCTTCCATCCCTTTATTTTCAGTCTATGTGTATCTTTGTATGTGAGATGAGTTCCTTGAATACAGCACGCTGATGGGTTCTGACTTTTTATCCAGTTTGCCAGTCTGTGCCTTTTCATTGGGGCGTTTAGGCCATTTACATTCAATGTTAATATTGTTATGTGTGAATTTGAGCCTACCATTTTGTTACTGGCTGATTTTCTTTCCCATTAGTTGACTCATTTTCTTCATTGAAGTTTTGGTCTTTGCCAACTGGTTTGCTTTTACAGTGACTGGTACTTTTTCCTTTCCGTGCTTAGTGTTTCTTTCAGGAGCTCTTGTAGGGCAGGTCTGGTAGTGACAAAGTCTCTCAATAATTGCTTGTCCATAAAGGATTTTATTTCTCCTTCACTTAGGAAGCTTAGTTTGGCTGGATATGAGATTCTGGGTTGAAAGCTCTTTTGTTTAAGGATGTTAAATATGTGCCCCCACCCTCTTCTGGCTTGTAGGATATCTGCTGAGCGATCTACTGTGAGTCTGATTGGCTTCCCTCTGTGGGTGACCTGACCTTTCTCTCTGGCTGCCCTTAGCATTTTTCCTTCATTTTGATGCTGCTGAATATGATGATTGTGTGCCTTGGAGTTGCTCTTCTTGAGGAATAGCTTTGTGGAGTTATCTGTATTTCTTGAATTTGAAATTTGGACTGTCTTGCTAGACTTGGGGAGCTCTCCTGGATAATATCCTGGAACATGTTTTCCAACTTGGATTCTTTCTCCCCATCATATTCAGGTACAACAATCAAGCATAGATTAGTTCTTTTCACATAATCCCATATTTCTTAGAGGTATTGTTCATTTCTTTTCACCCTTTTTTCTCTTGTCTTCCCTTATCTTTTTATTTCACTGAGTTGATCTTCAATCTCTAATATCCTATTTTCTGCTTGATCAATTCGGCTATTAAAACTTGTTTGTGCTTCACGTAGTTCTTGTGCTGTGTTTATCAACTCCATAAAGTCGTTTATGTTCTTCTCTAAGCTGGTTATTCTAGTTAGCATTTTGTCTAACCTTTTTTCAAGGTTTTTGGTTTCTTTGAATTGAGTTAGAAGGTGTTCCTTTAGCTCAGAAAAGTTTGTTATTATCCACCTTCTGAAGCCTGTTTTTGTCGATTTGTCACACTCCTCGGTCGAGTTGTGATCCTGTGTTGTTGAGGAGTTGTGATCCATTGAAGAAGAAGAGGTATTCTGGTCTTTGATGGTTTCATCTTTTTTTGTGCTGGGTTTTTCCCATCTTTGTGGATTTACCTGGCTGTGGTGTCAGAGAGCTGCTTGATTAGGTCACTTATCTGCCTGTGGGGGTGCTACTGGGTTTCTAGGGACTCCTTCAGGTTACTAGGGAAGCTTCCTATGTCTTTTTTGTTTATACTGGGAGATTAGGCCCCCCTCTTCCGCTGACCTGTAGGAGCTGCTGAGTTGTCAAGAATGCCGTCCTGTCCCGTTGCTATGTAGGCTTTCTGTGTTTTTTGTTAAAACATGTAGCCCAGTGCCACCCCTCTAGTGATGGGTTGTGCCCTTCCTCCACTGGGCTGGATCATTCAGCGTTCCTCTCAAACTGTGGCACTGGCTGCACAACCCACTAGAGTCAGGGCTTCAGCACTCTGGGGTTTGTGGGGGAGGTTAGGGACCCACCCAGCCACACCTGGCCTCCTCCCCCTTTCAGCTTCCTCTCTCTCCAGTCATGGGATAGGGGCCTGCCCAGCTGCTCCCCCTTACAGCTCTCTCTCTCTCTGGGTGGGGGTAGGGGGCGATAGCTCAGTCTTCAGGCTCTTATTCAACTCCGCGCTTGTAATTCCTGGTGCTTGACTGGCAAAGATCCCCTGTTCTGTGTATTGCTGAGCCTTTGGGGGAAGCGCTGTACCTGGACCGGAGTGCCAGAGGTAGAGCCTCCGACTCACCCGTCAGATGCACTTTCTGGGTGAAGCAGCACCCCTCCGGCCTCGGTCTGCCCTGAGTGGGCTTTGCTCACCATCAGACTAGATCCATTGAAATGCACCTGGTACCTTGGTTGGAGCTAGTAGATCTCTGGATTTCTGCGTCTCTCTCCCTGGGTGTTGTGGGCTAGAGTTGTGTCTAATTGGCCATCTTGGATTGGATCCCTTTTCTAGTTTTTTCTTTACAAAAACGATACAACAAACATCTATGAGCATGTATGTGTGTCTGCATCCATATGTGTGTATCTTCATATATTTCAGAAAATATATGTATAAGAACTGCTGGGTTAAGAATATAAATATTTTCAAATACTAAAAATCACTCAAACCATACATTTGTGAGTAGTCATTGATATCAAATACAACATCACAGCAAAACAAATGTAATCAAGAATTTAAATAAGGCACCAAAATGGGAACCAATGAGTCTCTTAAGGCAAGAAGACTGTATTAAGGGTTGATGTGGCATTTAGTGGAAAGGAATACATATGAGAGGTAATTTATATTCTCTCAAATAAATCCCCTGGGTTTCTTATCCCCTGGGTGTACTGAAAAATTATTAGTTTTCCCCTCTCCCTCCCTAAAGAAGAAAGGAATTTTCCTCTGATCTTCACAGTGAGAACCTGATGAAGCTTCTGGAGTTAAATCAGGAAAGTGTGGGGAATCCTCACTTCAGGCTGGGGCCCCAGGAGTTTTAAACTCTCAAGCTAGTTCTCAAGCTGCCCCATGCTCATTTTTCCCTTGGTAGTTAATAAACACTAACAGCACCCATTTTTCCCTTGGTAGTTAATAAACACTAACGTGAAATATAAAATGCACAAACAACTTAAAACTATGGCCAGTATTCACAGGTAGAAATTATAATATAATATAATTAAGTGACCAATTTATAATACTTACAGTCAAGTAAAATATTTCACTCAGATACCTTAAAATTAGAAATTGTCTTCTCAGGATTAGGCCACGTTTTCTCTGAAAAGCCATCATCCTTGAGTCATGCCATTCTAAGAATCAGTTTTTCTTCTGATGGACAATTGCTGATCACTTAAATCTGTACCTGCCACTGACAGTGGGTATTAGTTTAACCCCAGGACACGAAGAATCAGAACCTCTTAGAAATAAGGTAGTGGATATTATATGTATTAATGTGCGCTAAAGATAGTTAAATTTAGATGGGAGCAAATAAAATTTCTTCTTTTTTTTTTTTTAAGGCCATGACCATTTTTTCCATTTTTATTTGATGTTTCCAAATATAAAAAGGTCAAGATTCTTACACCAAGTATCTCAAATGAGACCATGCGATACAATTTAGTGTATACAACAATCATTTTTCCCCTTCAGTTCTGCTGCATCATATATATAACAGTGTGATTGACAGAAATCCTGGTTGGAAATGTCATCTGTTTAGAAAATAACATCATGCAGGACAGTTTGTCTGCAAGTCAATTCACAAAAACTACTTTTCTCTTTTTTTGTTTGGGAGGCACAGAAAACTGAAAAATCGAGCTGCCCAATTGTATTAAACTACCCCACCAAAAAAAAAAAAAAAATCTGCAAACTTTGGAGGATTGAGATAGTAGACACTATTTGTTATATTTGGTAGAGTTAACCATTTAACAGGAATAAATGTTCATAGGGCCTTTCCTCTAATTTTGCTAGACTGGGTTCCAGAGGAATTGTGAAGAACCCCTCATGTAAAATTTAAAGTGTGAAAATTGTATTGTTGCATTATGCAGATTTTTGCTACTTGCATAGACTAAAGATGGTTTGCTAAATGGCTCTGAAAATCCTGACTGAGTGTCACTATTTAGTCCAAATGTTTCTGACCAAAGAAAATTATACAACAATATTTATAGGCTAACTCTAAAGAGATGGCTGACATTAATACTGTACATATTTTACATGTCAAATACATAGTCCAAGAGTTTATAAAATAAGTTCATGCATTATTACCTTATTACCTCTAAGAATATCATGTACAAGATATGCATGCCCCCACCCTCCATTACTTATGACAGCATTTCAGGTGGAAGCAGTCTTATAAACAAAAACAATCCAGTTTCTCTACTATGTTAAGTATACAATTTAAGGAAATTTCAGAGATTACTGACCAAAAAAATCTTAGTCCATTGAAGATAGAAAGTGTCAATTTGTGGGATTTAAAATATTTCCTTTATAAAAGAACACCCAGAATATGTAACCTCTACACAAAGAAAAAATATAAAAATTCTGGATGATCATGTTTGATCACACTACGTACTTTAGAATGAAATGTCGCTGGTTAAAAGTTTTTCTGCTTTACTCATTCCTTTGAAAGTATTAATTTGTGAACACATATTTAGCTTAGCTGATTTATGGCACAAGATCTCATTTTCAGAACAGCATCAATTTTCCTGAAGTGTAGCAGTGCTCTATTTTTAGCAGTAATTATATTTCTAAAGGTTAATTTGTACAACAAATATTTTAACTATACTTTTTTCTACTCTATATTCAGTTACAATATTTACAAAGGACTGAATTCTATATAAAAAATGATCTTTTACTCTCCCCCACCCCTCATCTTCGTCAAGCTTCTCCCACCTCATTTCTTCCCTGGTTGGGGAAGTGCAGAGTTTCAGGTAAGGTACCTACCTGTGTTTTAGATGGGATTCCTGATTTTAAGTGAGCATAAAGTAAAAGATTTAATTCTTAGTTCAGATATGTTGTAGTGCCTCGAAGTTATGTGACAAATAGTACCTGTTGACAACCTAGAAAAGATGAAACATTCTAAGGTGCCCTAACAATCTTCAGTCTCTAACAGCTGGACAGGAAGGCCATTTTACTCAACAGTGATACAATCATCATTGATTGGCATTTAAAGTTACATTGCAAGACTCCACTCCTATGGTGGGCCACTAGATTAAATAACTGAGAATACATTTTAAGAGCAATTAACATTGAATGAAATATGGTTCTAAGATACTCTGTGTAAAAAGAGAGTATCAATAATGGGAACTGGCAACTGAGCATGCTAAATCAAATTCCATGAATACAATTTTCATGATGTCTTTACTACATGCATTTTGCTAATATTTCCCTAAAATATTCACCAACTCTATAGAGTTATACTTTGTGTTAAGGTACTATTGAGTTATAAGGGAAGTAGCCATATCAGATAGCTAGTGACATAATATCAGTTGTGAAAATTCAGACAAATGAAGTCGACAAATCCCTGAAAATGGCAAATTAAGCCCTTTGACAAAATAATTATTGGATCATAAAGAAGTAGACCAAATCTGGAAAATTTGAATTAAAATTGTAATCCTATAAAACAAGTTTTGGGGTGAATGGATTTCTTTAATACCAATAGTGTTTTTCATTGTCAGGACAGATGGATTTGCTGAATATGCTAACGCTGTGAATGAGAAAACAATTTTGGGGGAAGTATACCCACAAGTAATCTGATGACAAAACAAACCACAGACTGATGTCAAATGGGCAAAAACCTGAAAATATGCTCTGAGAAATAGACAACCGAAATAATATAGGGGGTTGTGGGGTGTGGCACAGTTAAGGCATCTAAAAAAAATTCCACATGGCTTTGGCTTATTAAAATATTTTACACTATTTTTTTTAAAAGATTTGAAAGCATCTGAAAAGCATGCAAATTGTTTGAAAACCTTGCATGGCAAATTCAGACAGTTTGCAAGCGTCATTCAGATGCTTGACGAGGAAATGAAAGAAGCCTCTCCCTAAGAGACTGCACGTGGTGGGAGAGGCCTTCCCAGTTCTATCTTACACTAGATGGCAACCCAGAGGTCTGTGCCGAGGTGACAAACAAGGCATTATTATCTGGAAGGGAAGGGACAGTGGAATTTCCATCGTCTGGGGAACAACCCCGCTTTAGCTTTTCCAGATACTCTGCATGCACAGGTTTATGACACTGGAGAACTTGGATTGCATCTTCTACTTTGAACCACTCTCTCTTCCTTCCTATATTAGCGGAATCTTCCCAATCTTCTAATATGTCAGTGACTGTTAGAACATAAACATGTGTTCTGTGCTTTCGGTCTTGGTGCTGCTCGAATACGCCCAGAAGTCTGCCTAGTTTTCCTCTGACTCTAGCCTCCTCATAAACTTCCCTGACGGCAGCACCGCCAGGCTCCTTCTCAGGCTCCATTCCTCCTCCTGGGACTGTCCCCTGGTCTGGGCACCCGCAGCACCTGGTCCTCCCGCTCGCTGCGGAAGCACAGGCCCGCCGCCCGCTTCTTGGAGCCCTCTCGGTGGTAGGTCCGCGTCTGCTTGGGCTTGAACTTCATCACAGAGGCGGGCTCCTGCTGCCGCTGCTGCTCCGGCCACCGCCGCGAGGACCCGGGCGCTGCAGCGCCGCCGGGAAGCGGGGCGAGGGTGAGCCGGGCGCAGGGCAGCCGGGCGCGCTGGTGGGTGCGGGAGGCGCGGCGAGGCCGGTCAGTCCCGGGGCGGGCGGCCGCACTGACGCGGGCGGGACGGGGCGCGAGCGCGGGTCGCTGGAGCCCAGGTGCCCAGAGGAAGGCGCAGCCTCTGCAGGGGCGACCACCCCTCTCCAGGGAGCTGGCCTCCCTCTCGCCTCCGCTCCCTCCGGCCGCAGTCGCCAGGGGAAGGGCCATGAAATTTCTTCTTTACAGCCAGCAAATTGGTACTGTGGCTCCTCGTCACTTACCTCCTCCATGCATCAGAATAAAATCTTTCCTCGACATAACACAAGATCACTAATAGTAGGGGAACAGGAGATGTAGTGGAAATCTCCATCGCTGAATGACTTTTAGCCTTTCTGCATAATAATGGCAGATATTTGAGTACTTGTTATGGGCGGGGTGCACTCGTAAGGCCTAATTTGTGTTATTCCATTTACTCATAACAACCCTATGAGGTAGATGGAAAATAAACACTATCTAACAGATTGGTAATAGAATGCATAGAAAAGCTAAGCCAAGTCAACAACTGGTATGTACAGAGCCAGTATTCATATCCAAGTACTGTGGCTACAGAACCCCTACCCTTAACAATTTCGCTAAAGCTGAAGATTCATTTGCTTTAAACTCGTGAAACCCCAGGCTCCACCTCTTTTCCCGTTCCCGCTTTGAAGCTCACAGAATCTCAGTGGGTCATATCCCTCTGCCAATGGGAAGAGAAGGTGGGCAAGGGCAGATGTCGCTACAGATGTGTTACTGGGAAATTGGGTGTCACAACCTTCGCCATTTAATTTGCTTTGTGGTTTTTTTTTTTTTTTTTTTTTTTTTCCTGAAAGCCAAATGTGATGTATCTGGTAATAGGACCTAAGGTAATCAGGCTTTTGGTTAATCTGGCTAGGAGCTGAGCTATGTTTAATTTGTTGTAGCTATGCCAGAGGCTTATGTTTCCTCTAGAGTTTGGGTTTTGGTGTGGTTTTTTTCTTCCCTGTTATCTTTAGGCTTCCCTAAGAACTCCTTCTCAAACAGTCGGTAAGAGCTCTCTTAATCGCAGTCCACTGCTGTTATTTTGAAGCCCTGTTGATTCCATGGTAACATACTGGGGAGGAAAAGTGTGTTCTAAGCTTATGATTAAAACTCAGGGGTTGTTTTAGCGGGTCTGGTCTCTGGACTGACTTTCAGAAGCATTTCTTAGCCTTTTTTAACCTCTCTCCTTGTGTGAGAAGGCTAGGGAGCGCTCAATCTGTCTAATTGCTCTGACTTAGGTCAGATAAGGCTCTGGTAAAGGAGTTTCCCTTGAAGTAAGGCCTTTGCTGAGGAGAGCAGAACACTCTGGATGTATTTAAAAATGGTTTCTTATCCCCTGGGTGTACTGAAAAATTCTTAATTTTCCCCTCTCCCTCCCTAAAGAAAAAAGGAATTTTTCTCTGATCTTCACAGTGAGAACCTGATGAAGTTTCTGGAGTTATAGCAGGAAAATGTGGGGAATCCCCACTTAAGACTGGGGTTCCAGGAGTTTTAAACTCTCAGGCTAGTTCACCCTTGGCCTCTGGAAATTTATCAATCACTATTTAAATGTTCCTGCTAGTTACTTATTTCAGTAACTTCTGTTTCTGCTAAGCTGTGATTCTTTGTATTTATCTGCCTTTCCAGTTTTGGAGGCAGTGGTTTGCCCTGTGACTTCAATTTTCTGATGGATCTAAGAATAGCTGTTTTCAGTTTATTCAGCTTTTTTCTTGTGAGGACGCTAGGTGACAATTTCCAAGCTCTTAACATGTTGGAGTGTCATGAGGTAGAATGAATAATCTCACAAAACTTACATAGTGTATTACTTCATTTGACCCACTGTAACAAAATACTACATAATTTAATAATAATAGAAATTTATTTCTTACAGTTCTAGAGACTGAGAAGTCCAAGATCAAGGTATCAGCAGATCTGGTGTCTGGACAGGGCTCACTCTCTGCTTTGCAGATGGGGTCTCTTGCTGTGTTCTCATCTGGCAGAAGGCCAGGACACTCCCTTCAACTTTTTGTACCAGGACATTAATTCCATTGATGAAGACAGAGCCCTCATGACTTAGTCACTTCCCAAAAGATGCCACCTATTGATCTTGGTGGGATAGGTTTCAACATGAATTTTGGAGCAATACATTCAGACCATAACAGATAGTATCTCTAAATTTTCCTAATTTTTAAAAAATACATCTTATCATTTCAATGACAATACACAGGAAATGTCCCCATCAAATGATAGTTGATTCTGACAGCACATTTGGAGATTTTATTTCATTTTTAACACCAGGGTTTGGGCCCTTCTCCAGGCCAACTGAATCAGAATTTTTAGGGGTTAGGCTTGAATATCTACCCCTGTCCCTACCCCAGCTTTTTAATGTGAAAACCATGCTATAGGGCAATGGTTCTCAACTTAAGTGTGCATCTCAGAATTACCTGGAAGATTTGCAATTCAGATTGCAGGGCCCTGCCTCCAGGAATTTCTGACCTAATGGGAGTAGGGCGGAGCCCAAGAATTTACATGTCTAACAAGTTACAGATGATGCTGATGTTGCTGGCACTGGACCACATTTAGCAAACCACTACCACAGCAGATCCTAAAAAGAAATGGCAACATTTGAAATCTATGATTTGCTTATACCTCTTACAAAACGTGACACCATAATTTCCCATTTTTCTGTGAACTCTGGTTGATTAGGTCAAAATGCTGAGTTAGGGCTCCCCATTTTTTTTCTTTTGGTATATTAAATTTTTCTGTTTTTCAGGGTTCTGTCTATGGCCAGGTTTTCTGTACATGACACTAACTTACCTTCTGGGTGATCTTACATATTTGCATAGTTTATTTCATCTAAATGCTGATTATTAAAAAATCGATTTGTCCAATTGGATTTCTCTCCTGAGCTTCACATCTGTATTTTCAATTGGTTGCTTGACATATCCAGGAAGATGTTTCCCAAAGAGCTGCACTCAGCCTGTCTGCATCTGAGATATGACACCAAGATATAGTCTATTTTTTCAAGCCAGAAACCCACATGTCAACTCTGATTTCTTTTCCTTATCCCTCTCTCAAAATGGTCTCCAAAGCCTACAAAAACTATTTCCTTAATATCTCTCAAATCCATTTCACTCCACTTATGCCACTGTCTATCTTATACTATTTGGTTGGTGCAAAACCCACACCCACCTACACTTCTGGCTGAATGGCAAACCCACAATTGCTTTTGCACCAACCTACACTTCTGACTGAATGCTCCAATGAGATGATCTCATTTTATAAAATCTAAAGCTAGAACTGTAGCATTGGTGAAAAGGAATACAAACTAATTTATTACTGATACGTCTTATACCACCCATGAACCAGTGCTCTCCAGTATGCTAGTGACAGAGGTTCCTAATTTGAGCTAGTGTGTCCTGCACTGGAAAGCTGGGTCTTTGTGGAAAGGCTGGAGTAGGTCCAACAGAGGTCTATTTGCATGAATGGCCAAGGAAGCTCCTGGGAAAGAATTCACTGGAAAAGAAGAGAATCTGAAGGTGGGAGTCATATAGGGAAGTTGCCTCAGCAACCAAAATTCAGTTACTGAGAGAAGGAAAATAATTAAATATAGCAGATGATTTGTTACTCTCCACCTCATGCCTCTGTGAACTTAAGTCCTCTGTAGGTGTTAGATCTGCAAGTAAATACATGAAATGAACATTTGCCAATTGTTAAGCACCAAACCCTCTTGGTGTTTCAGCAAGCTGAAACCTTATCCATTCCCAGGCCTGGCATTTCAACAGGTTGGCAGCCTGTTAGTTTACAGACATCTTTTAACAATCTTGGGTTTGGCCATCCAGAAGGCCTCTTTCTGCTCAGGGTTTCTGCAGTGTCTTTGGATGACCTGTTAGCAACCAGTGGCTGGTCTGTTATCATGGGCTCATGTCCTTCGCCAGAAGGGCAATTTGCTCTCGCAGCTGCCGCTCCCCTTCCCGCATTTTGCTCTGGCTTCGACACCTCAGCAACTCAGCCTTGTGGTCCTGGTGATGCATAGGGCAGTAGCTCTGTGGTTCACACAACTCCGTATATTCTGGAAAGAAGTCTCTGTAGCCGCCTTTAAGGATATATAGCTCTGGGTAGTACAATGCAGGATACTGGTTCAGAGATCTGTCCTCTTCTTGGAGAGAACGGCACATTCGGGGTCCCCTCTCTGAGGAGAATTCACAGTGGAACACGATGATTATTCTCTTCTGGGTGTCCAAAGGGACAATGGGCTTCTTTAGAAAGAAGTTAAATAGTTCTTCCTGACTATACAAGTTTAAGGCTCCCTGGATGTATCCTTCCAGGTACTCATATGGATAGCGACAATCAATGACATAAAACTTCTCAATCAGACCCTGGAAATTCCCCAACAGTAGGGCAGCCACTGTTTCTGGGTTGACATACTTCAGATCTTGGTGTTTCCCTGACATGGTTGGCAGTGCACATATCTTGGAAAAATCACCAATCAGATGCCCTTGGTTAGAATCTTCCTCCAGCATCTCAATGATATTAATGTCACACAGAGAGACTGTCTTCTTTAAATGTAAGCCCTTCCTGAGCTTTCCTTGGCCAGAAAAATACTTTTTTTTTAACTTTATCTGGCATTGCATTGTCCTTGCATTTGTCCACCTGCTTCAGTCTTAGCCTATTCAAGTTCTCCGGCATGGAAGGGGAGCGATATAGGCAGCTTCTCTTCACTGAGGCCTTGGCTTCTTGACCTTCCAGGGAAAACTCCATTAATTCATCTGAAATCTCTTCTGCCTGACCTTCTCCTAGTTTTGGATTTTTATCCAATTTTAAGACAGCAGTAATAGGACTGCCCAGATATTTCATTTCACTGTCCACCAAGTTTCCATTGTCCAGCAGAGATAAAGGAGACACATAAGGCTCCCCTGATCTCTTTTGAAATCTCAGGTTCCTGGGTGCGTGCCACTCCAACGGCCTCAAAGTGCTGTTTTCCTTTTCTTTATTTGCAAATGAGCTACACATTGCATCTCTCTTTCTATGGCTACGGTCCAAACCGTTTGGAGTGCTACAAAGAAGCTGTGCTGGGCTACTTTTCATTAGGTGCTGGTGATGATTCATCCCAGCTAACTGTACTTCCTGAAGTCCTGAAGAATCCAGGTGACCAGTTTCATCAAGGTCTGCAGAAATGGTAAGCTGAGTGGCAGATATCTCCCCACTGCTAAGACTTGAAAGATCAAGGCAGCGTTTTGGGGTTCCTCCAGACAAAATGCTTAGGTTTGTAGAATCACCAAGAAATTCACCCACTGGAGTTCTAGAGACACCTGGACAGACGGTAAAGGAAGTGTCTCTCTCCAGGAACAGGTTTAATATTTTCCTTTGATTAGACCTAAAACTGGGTCCTGAGCCACAGCTTCCTTCCTCTCTTAAGGATGAGAAGAGTTCTGCAGACATGGTCTTCGAGTTCTCACAGGAGAAAAACAAAACCTCAAGCCTGGAGTCTGAGGCTTGCCATCGGGAGGAAAGAAAGTGGGTAGGGGCCGAACACAGGCGGAGACTTGAGCAGAATAAAGGAAATCTGGGGGAAAGTAGACAGTTAACCAAACTGTAAGATGGGACCATCGGCACATGCCACCACGCCCTGCTAATTTATTATTGGCGCTTGAGGCTACAAGTCCAAGTATCTTCAGCTCAAGAAGAAGTTAGAAGATGAGTTCCCCGGCCGCCTGGACATCTCCACCGAGGGAACTCCCCAGGCCACCGGGTTCTTCGAAGTAACGGTAGCTGGAAAGTTGATTCACTCTAAGAAGAAAGGCGATGGCTATGTGGACACAGAAAGCAAGTTTCTGAAGCTGGTGGCTGCCATCAAAGCTGCCTTGGCTCAGGGCTAATGTGCCCTGAAGGCAGAGTCCAGGGACCTTAATCCAGCCCCTCTCAGCAGATGCTTCATGACAGGAAGGAGTGAAATGCCTCATGGACGCCTGGTCCTTCCCCGATGCTCTTGTGGCTGCTTTTGGGGGCAGAGATTGATGCCGTTGCTCTCTGCCTCTGTGTGTGTGTCTTCCCCGGGCTCCACACTGCCCCACCCTCCTCCTTTCCCCCAATTTAATCAGATTTCTGTGCACAACCCATGTTTCCCTGGTTGTTCCCCGGAGTTTGGGGGACATCCCGCCTTAGGCATCCTTCTTAAGGGGAAGCCAAGAGAGGCATCAGGATGGGTGAGTGTCTGATTGTGGCAAAGTTTGCAGCTGTTCACAATTCAATAAATTCAATAAATATTGGATGAGTTTAACTGAAAAAAAAAATGCCACTCAACTAAAACACTGTGTTTTGTTTTGTTTTGTTTTTTTTACCTTAAAAATAATAATTGAACCACACAGATGTCTTCCCCTCTCCTCCCCACAGACACAGAAAAACACTTGGCTGAGTAGGGTTGGGATCTGAGGGTCCATAAGCCTCCGTCCTGGGACAAGGCAGCGGTGTAGGCCCAGGTAGGAGGGAGGGGCAGTGTCCTTTCTCCCCGAAGGAAAAGTGCAGAGCCAGGGCCTTGGAGGCCCCCCTCTCACAGCAGATTGGCAACGGGCAGGTGGGAAGGCGTGCTTCACAGTGGCCATGCCCTGAGGGGCTGGGCCGGGCCTGTGTGCTGCAGCTCTTGGGAGGCTCAGGAGCACGGTGGGCAGATGGGGAAACTTGGAGGCATTGACCAGTCTGGCCTTCAGGTTCAGGGTGTCCATGACAAAGCCCAGCCTCTTCCCCTCCCAAGGGTGTTTCTTCTTTAGAACCTCAATCTAGATAATGGAGCCAACACCCAATGATCTGGTATCCTCCCTCTCCTCCATAAGGGCAAGGGCTGGGTGTCTTGGTCTAACTATATCTCCCAGGTCTAGCACAGATGCATAGCATGGCAAAGCCTTGGCAAACATTTAATGGATGGGTGGATGGACCCGTTTACTTCCTTTCCACGAGGGTTTTCTGGCTTGGTGAATGAAGGAGATCATGCTTTAAAAAAAAAAAAAGTACATATTACAAGTGATAGACACTAAAGGTAGCTTAAGTAAAAAAAGGAATTACTGGTTGGGAGTGGTGGCTCACACCTGTAATCCCAGCACTTTGGGAGGCCGAGGCAGGTGAATCACGAAGTCAGGCATTGGAGACCAGCCTGGTCAACATGGTAAAACCCCATCTCTACTAAAAATACAAAAAATTAGCCAGGTGTGGTCATGGGTGCCTGTAATCCCAGCTACTTGGGAGGCTGAGGCAGGAAAATCACTTGAACCTGGGCAGCGGAGGCTGCAGTGAACCGAGATCGCACCACTGCACTCCAGCCTGGTGACAGAGCGAGACTCTATTTCAAAAAAAATAAGGAATTAGTGGTTCACCTAACTGGGAAGAACAGAAGTGAACTAGCAGTCTAACATAAATGGGTCTAGATTAAGCTAATAGGATTTGACCATGGTTCAAGGTGGGAAGAAGAAGCTAACGTGATCTTCTGGGTGAGATCCTTTGGGCTAGTTCAATGCAGTGTGGTTACGGTTTCCACTGATGTATCATTGCTGCTGATGTTTCACATGCTTGTACTGAGAATGATGGTAAAGTTCAGAGGGTCTAAGGTTAAATTTTACAGTTGCATGCTGGTTCAAGGGCAGGACTGATCTTTAGAGGCAACAAATATTTTCAGGTCTTAGGAAAGTTGTCAGGAAAGGATGGGGAGCCTGGATTCAGGGCAAGCAGAAGGAGGAGTCTGTGGAGGGGCAGAAGGAGAGAGATCACAAGGACAGGGCAGAAGAGGGAGGGCTGGATATAGGGAAGCAGCTGAGAACAAGCAGTGGGGAGGTTTACTAGGGAAATGAATCTAGTTTGTTATTGATTAAGTTTGTCCAATTCCTCATTAGCTTTGGCCAGATAGTTTTTTAGTGAACCAATTATTGAATCAGAATTTCATTCAGAGGCCTCCACATACCAATAAAAAAGTAGTGTTCACTGAAAAAAAAATTGATTTATTGTCACTGATTATTTCCCGCTTCCTCGAACTAGCTGCTGATCGTTCCGTACCTTGGTTTTTGACATGCCTGAGCCAGCGAAGTCCGCTCCCGCCCCGAAGAAGGGCTCCAAGAAGGCGGTGACCAAGGCTCAGAAGAAGGACGGCAAGAAGCGCAAGCGCAGCCGCAAGGAGAGCTACTCCGTGTACGTGTACAAGGTGCTGAAGCAGGTGCACCCCGACACCGGCATCTCCTCCAAGGCCATGGGCATCATGAACTCCTTCGTCAACGACATCTTCGAGCGCATCGCCGGCAAGGCTTCCCGCCTGGCGCATTACAACAAGCGACCATCACCTCCAGGGAGATCCAGACGGCCGTGCGCCTGCTGCTGCCTGGGGAGCTGGCCAAGCACGCCATGTCGGAGGGCACCAAGGCCGTCACCAAGTGCACCAGCGCTAAGTAAACTTGACAAGGAGGGACCTTTTCTGGAATTTCCTGATCTGATCAAGAAAGCTTCTTACAAAAAAAAAAAAAAAAAAAAAAAAAAAAAAAGACTGAGGAATGCAACCACACCTGGATGGACTTTTCCACAAGATAAAGCTGGCCTCTTTGTCTCATTCAGATTTCAAAGAGAATCATTTACAAGTTAATTTCTGTCTCCCTGGTTCATTCCTTCTCACTTATAATCATTCGCTGTTCCTCAAATAATTGTATACATTACCCATCTCCTCTTTTGCCTCTGAGAAAGGGTATATAAGCTTCTGTACCCCGCCAAGGGGTTGGAGTAATCATTCTGTGGCCCCCAGCCCTGTACATTAATAAATTTGTATGCCTTTTCTCTTAAAAAAAAAAAAAA